ATATTGAATTATATGACAAAACAATATATAAAATTTTATATAAATATCTTTATTAATTTAATCAAAATTAATTTTTGTTAAAATATCTAAACAATAAGAAAAACTATCTGATCAAAATGTTATAGAGAAAGTCACAATATTTATTATTCTCATAACCTTCAAAACTTTCTTTACAATCCCAATAATTATTTTTATCAGTTATATCAAAAGAGTATGCAACTATATTAGTTTGTTTAACAATACTTAGTATTAAAGATTCAATTTCTATAATGACAACTTAATTGCTTAGAAAGAAATCATCTTTCATATTATCTGAAAGCTTAATGATTAAAGTTACATGAGTATTGACTTCTGAACTGAAGTCTGTAACTCAAACTCAAAAGAAAATAGAAAAAGATACAGTTTAAATTATTTTTGAATTATAAAACCTACTTTTATTAATTTGTTAATTTATTTAAAAAATAAAGAGTTATATATGAAGATAAATAAACTAGAAAAAACAAATATTGATTTAGAGACACAATTAATTACAATGAAACATATATATTAAATATAATATTTTTCAATGAATCAAATTAGCAAAAGAAGTATATAGAATATCTAAAAAAGGAAAATGAATAACTAAAACCACATAAATTAGCATTATAGTCAATAATAGTTGTAAAAACTATAAAAATGGTATCTGAATATCAAAACCAACTTGAATGTCAAAATTAATCTGAACCTCAAAACCAATTCAAACTTTAAAACCAATTCAAATCTCAAAACCAATCTAAATTTCAAAACCAATCCAAATTTCAAAATCAATCCAAACCTAAATACCAACTTGAACTTGAATACTAATTTGAACTTGAATACTAATTCAAACCTGAATACTAACCTGAATCTGTATCTGAAGCTAAAGCTGAATATATAATTTTAGATTTTAAAAATATATTAAATATATTGAAAAGCTGAAGAATTCAATTCAAAGAAAAGAGTAAAGATATTGAAAAGGGTAAAATAATAGAAATAATCAAATCTTCAAAAATTGTTTCTAAAGATAAAAAGAAAAAGAACTCAAGAGCCAAAATGAAAATTCTGGTAAAAACTATTATTAAAGAATTTTAACTAAGGATAGATGAAGTTTTTTTAAATAATGCAAATAAAAAAAATATTAAACAAGTTAATATTCAAATTATTAAAATTAATGGCTTTATATTTTAATTTATTATGAAAACAGCTATGTTATTGATTAGATATTTTACATCATTATTAAAGAGGAAAATATTAAAAGGTATAAACAAAAAAACTAAATACAGACAATCAATGCTTATATGCAAATAGCTGATTAAATAAAATAAAATTAATTGATATTTATATTATATTGCTTGTATTAATTTTTATCAAATAATAAAAAAAAAGTGTATAAGAATTAAAAGTATATAATTACTTATCAACAAAAAGTCCAAGAGTATTATAAAATATTAGAAGAAATTGATTGATATAATTAAAGAATCAAGAGTTCATTTGACTGAAGAAAGTAAAACTGATTGAGAAAATGATAATAAGAGAAGAATAAATGTATATAATTATAGTTGACATTTTGATGAGATATTTTTTAATAAATAATATTATATCAAATAATTAATTTATTACTAATTATTTTATAGTTGAAAGATTTATTATAAAATTTAGATAAATATTTAAAGTCAATTTAACTATTTCAATTAATTTGTAAGTGAAACTATAATAAATCTTATGGTCACAATATAATCTCACCAAAAAACTTGTCAAGTTGAACTTGTAAATTGAAAAATAAAGAGCAAGAAATAGAACAAAGTAAAAAAAATAAACAATTAATAAAAAAAATATAAAAGACAAAGGATTTTCAATTATAAGAAATTACTTATGTATTTAGAAAGAGAAGAGTATCAAACTGGAAAAAGTGCATGAATAGGCAAAATTCAAGAGTAATATTAAAAAAAAAAATTTTAAAAAAACTATAAGAAGTATAATAAACATCAAAATTACAAAAAAGTACTCCAAAGTAAAGGAAATTCAGTATTATAAAATCTTTGAAAGTTATAAGTGCCATGGTAAAATTAACAAAAGAAAAAATAATTATAAACAGAAAAATTTGAATAAAGAAATAGAGAAAGAATTTAATAAATAATGAATAAATAATTAGTAAATAATGAATGAACAATTACTGAATAATTAATTAGTGAATAATTAGCAAAAGATAAACAAATAATTAATGAATAATTAGCAAATAATTATTTTAAATTTTAAAATTTTTACATTTTTAATAAATTTATCAATTATTAATTAAATTTATTTTTTAAGATGTTTATATATATTAGTAATATTGTTACCATTACAAACATATGTAGCTTTACAATAATTACAAGTAAATATGAATCCCTAAACAGGTAATAACTATTTGTTACCTGTTTTGATTATTAAACTTTTATAATTTAAACCAGATAACATTTAGTATTACATGGTTTAAGAATCCATCTTTAGTTACAAATAGTTTTTTTAGTATTTTTAAAATCTAGAAAATAATATTGGTTTTGACAAATTATTTATAACAATATTATTAATATAGCTAGTTTTATAGCTAGTTAAGCTACTAGTTTTATTATTAATATATTGAAAATTATAATTATTAGAAAAAAATTTATGTTCTATTTTATTAGAAAGAAGTTAAACAATAACTATTAGAATAAAAAAAATATTAACATAAAACAAACTTACTAAAATATAAAAGAAACATGAAATAACAAAAGTAAAATCATTAAAAAAATTTTTATTTATAATATTTAATTGCAAAAAAAATAATAAAACAGAATTAAGTTATAAAAATTTTTGATTTTTTGTTTATTGCTTTATATATTTTAATTTAATTTAATTTCTTTTTTTGTTTTCATTTAAATATAAAATATAAAAAATCTAAAATCAGTTTTGATTTGAACTGAAGCCAAACCAATTTGATCCAATTGAATTAAAAAATTTTAATACCAAACCAATCTGAATCTTATCAAATTAAAAATTTTAAAAATTGAATCTATTTGAACCAAAATCAATTCACAGATCAATCAGTTTTTAGTTTAAAACTTTGATTCCTAGTGGTAATGTGAAATGTTACAAATATATATAGAAATATAAAGGTATAGAATTGCATTGTAAAACTAAGTACCTGTATATATTAATTAATATTAATAAAGTAAGCTTCAGCAATATATAAAAAAAAATTAATTATTAATTTTATATTAATAAAATCTCTAAATTTTCAACTTCATTTGATATATTTTTATTAATTTTTATATAGTAATTTTTAAACAATAAATAAATAAATAATTTTAAAAAGTTTTGTTATATACAGTAAATGTTTTTAATACTGAAAAATAGGAAATAAAATTTCAAGACTTTTAATGAACTGGAAGTTTTCAAAACTAATTCTTTATTTCAGAGATCTCTAATAAAAATATAAGTGTTTTGGAATTCTTCACCTTGTTAAATTTACTGATGTTTAAAAAGGTAAAAAAACGAGAAATCTTAGTTGTTGCTTTTTTAGTTTTTCAGGTGAGATTTCGATTTGTCAAGTAAAACATCTTTATAGTATTAAATGTCTAGTAGCATTTTTTAATAAAAAGCCTAAAATAATCAAGCCCTACTATCTTTTTTAATAATCTCCACAAGATATAAAATTCTTATAAAAATAAATTTCTTTAATAAAAGTTAATTTTAGCATAGCTAGTAGACTGTTCATGTATAGGAATATGTAATCTTCAATGATTAATAAAAACCGCATTTAAACCTTAAAAAAAAAAGAAGTTAATTTTATTTAGTAAAATAAAGGTCTTAAATATAATAATTTTTAATTGTATATTATTAAAAATAAAATTTTTATCTTTATTATTTGATATATTTTTATTCTAATGTCGGGCGCAACTTTCATTTAAGCAGTAAATTGATCCAATATTTTATTTGTCGAAGTAAATGGCTTTGCTACAGATCCAACTTATCAACCTCAATATTTACTGACAATTAATCCAACAAAAATTAATAACTACAGGACATCTGCATAGAACTTTACGCGACGCAAAAGGCGATTAGTTACTCCCGATTTTCCACAGTTTTTCCTTGATTTCTTCGTGTAGTTTGCGAGTTTCATGGATTCCGTGCTATATAATAAATTAGTAGAAATAGAAATAAGATATAGTATTTATAATTTGTTCCTTATTATTTATTTATTTACCGCTAACTTGATCATAGCTTCAACTGGTTGGCTTAGACTTGAATACCCAACAGTCTGGTCCTGTTGTGGCAAACGAACTGTATCTACATTGATAAAAAAATATAGCCCCGGAATTGGCTGACGACAACTGTACACCTTCAGGTGCAATCCGTTACGCTCATCTAGTTGATTTGATAGATGTAGGCCCCAAACTCGTATCTGTTGGAGCTGTTCTTTAAATTGATTAAACGTTGCTGGTGCTTGACGAAAAATGTCATTCCAATATACGAAAAGATTATCACGGTTATAATTAGCAATCTTGAACTCATCCCTTACAAATTCGGCTGAGCCCTCTTTGGCAAGAGAATTTTCATGCGTAAAAAATTCATATCCATCAATTTTGCCCCTTAGACATGTCCTTTTTCCACTACCCCTTATTGTGTTTCTGCTCTTATCTGCCTGCGAAAATTGCTCACGACTATTATGATGAAATCAATTCATAAGCATAATAATACACTATATCAAATTTCATAATAAAAAGTTAACGATGTACGTGCCTTATAATCAAACAGTATTCTCTTAAAATTTTAGTTAAAGGGATGATATGGTTGAAGTGAATGGCACCTTCCGATAAACCCTTCTCATAAGGTTCGCTAAAGTATTCACCACTAAAAAAAAGGTTAATGTTGTTTCAATAACTGAAATATAACAAACTTCTACTTACTAATGAATAAGTATATCTTGGATATATTCTACAATTATTTTTTCATGTTTGGATCGCGTTGGCCAGACCTGATCTGCGAATTCAGAATAATAGTGCTTCCGTGCCCATTTTGTTAGTTCTCTCCAGGTAGAAAATTCAGTCTGTAATTTAAATTTATTAGATAAACCTTAAATTATAAAAATATTAGTACATTTAATACCTCTTTATCTAATTGTCTCAAAAAATAAGGAAGATTTTCGGATATATTGGCGATCAAAGGCAGTTGTGCAATTTCGTGATTCACATCATCCACCGAGATCCATTTAAATTCGCGTGCATTCAAATAAATGATTTTTCTGCGATACATACTTTAAAATAATTTTAGAACATTTAACTATAGTGACATTAGGAGTAATGAAATAAATACCTCATGTAACGTAATCTCATAGAATCATCTGACATATGTTCACATTGTTTTAAAAATTGATCGAGAAGATTATCTTTATGTACATACAAATTATTACTTTGTGCATCGAAAGTAAAATCTTCGTTTTTGTGATAGGAAGTACTTAAATATCCTAGCCAAAAATCTTTTAATTCAGCCTCTTGCTTTGAATCCTAAATAAATAAAAAATCGTTATTAAAAATTTAAACAAGTGCTTATAATGTCATATCAGCGGTAACCGCGTCATGTAATTATGTTTACAAAAATTTCTATAACAGCGCACGTCTTAAATTAGATGGTACAGTCTCCACCCAGCATACGTAAATCGAATAATTCAAGAGTCAATAGATCTTATTTAAATGATATCACTTGGCACACATACTAAATTGAATGTTACAAGCTCTACCCGGCAGGCACAAATACCTTTATGGAAAATCTCTTGCAAATGAATAGTATTTCATCCGCTTGATATATGCTCTGGAAATAAAAAATCATTAGACAACCTTTTCAGACGGATATCAAGTATCCATTTAAAGGTTGTCCAGTGACTTTTTTCTATCGAGCGTATTATAAAATATCATATCTACTTACAGTTAAGTCCCTCAATGCCTTGTGTGCTTTACGTTTTAATCCTGGTACGTTTAACATCGAATTAAGATATTGTGAATAGCGGAAGTGTTCGATTTCTTTTGTCTCTAACATTCTATTTCTGCTACAATATTTCAAGTACCCGAGTAATGACCAAATATTTTCCGTTTCAAAATATTGTGTTCGAAATCTGTAAAAGTTTTAAATTAATTAAAATATGCATGGAAACTATGTGTTATATTTACTCACACTTCATTGTCCTCAACGTTAAAATCTTGAACGTGAGATTTTTCGGACTCCATAATTTTCTAAAAAAGTTATTTTGGCCGATAATGCATGTAAAAACGCGTAATATGCAAATCTTTCGTGTAACACATTTGTAATGCATCATATTAATTATTGCGACGTGTGATTGACGCGTACTTTTGATCATTATTTTTTTTGAACTATATTAAATTATATAACTGTATATAAATTTATAAAAGAAAAATATTGTATAAAATAAAATAATTTAAAATTTTATATTAAATATTTTTATTATTTAATATATTATTAATAACATTATAAACTCTTTGTAATGTTATATTAATTATTAGCATAAAAATTAACTTTAATATTTTTTTATATAGTTTTTATATTTTATTTTTTTGAAAAGATTTTTTCCAGTAGATAAATATTCTTCTTTCTTTAATTTGTATATATAAAGATATACATTATAAAAGAAACAATATCTCTTCTTATATTTCAAAGAGTTAAATGTTAACTTATCTAATTTATAATATCTAATTAATATTGAAAAATTTTCAAAAAGTAATGTTAAAATATTAGATGTAAAAGTAGCAGCTATGCCTACCTACTTGACAAATTTTGTAAAATCTTTTGGTTTTTTGTAAATTTGAAAATAAAATATAAAAGAATAAAATATAAAAATATACTGTATATATACAAGTTAGATCAATTAAATAATAAGATTTATAGTAATAAAGGTCATATTTACAAAGGTGCCTATATTTTTCTATAGTTGCCATATGCTTTGGTACCAAGAAAATTATAAATATAGTTGATATTAATTAAAATTAAAACTAAGTCAATTAAATAGTAAAATCTATAATAGTAAAAATTATATTTTTAAAAGAGCAATCTTTTTATAGTTATAATATGCTTTAATAATAAAGAAATTATAAAATAGTTAATATTAAGAGCTAAAACTAAATTAATTAACAATAAAATCTGTAACAATAAAGATTATATTTTTAAAAAAGTCTATATTTTTCTATAGTAATTATGTATTTTGGTAATAAAGAAATTATAATATAGAATAAAAAAAAAACTTTTTCCCACTCCCTCTTCTATATTTAAAAATTTTCTTTTTAGGAAACTTTGAGTTGTTTACTTTTTTTCACTTTCACTTTTCCCCTTATCTTTACCTTCCCTTTCCCATATCTCTTTATCTCCTTCCTCTATTCTTTTTCATTTCTTCTATATACTTTTTTATTTGCTCTAACCTTTTCTCTTCTCCTTTTCCTTTTTCTGTCAAAGTTGGGTTTTCCTTTCTTTCTGAAGGTTTTCTTTCTAGGTCTCTCTCTCTTTTATATATTCCAATCTCCATAACATCACTTCTCTGACCAGTTAGCTCTCTTTTCTTAATACCATATTCAAAAGTGATAACCTTTATCAAGACATGGGCTTTAGAAATTTTTTCTCTTCCATGACCTTACAGAAAAAAAATGGATAGTTTACCCCCTTCAAAAGATCGGCATAGTCATTATTACCAAATCTGATATTGTTTACTTGTTAATAGTTAGACTAGATACATTTAAAAAACCAATGTACAACTATTATTATCTGAAAGTATCCAAAGAGTTGTGCCTCACTATATCCAGAAAAATATGGCAGCCAATGCCAATGCAGCTAACAATAAATTAAATTAGTTTGCAGTTGTCATGCTAATGATTGGAGAATTTAGTAGGATAATATGTGAAGATCAAGAATTCTAGTTATTTTTGCAACATGAGCTAGTAATGACAATAAAAGTTTCTTGCTTACTCTTCTGACAATATAGGCTCATTGTACAAGGTTAGGTATCAACATCTTTAAAAAAATCCAACTTCACTATATGTCCAATACTCTTATTAACAAATTATTACTCTATATCCAAATCTGTTTCTTACACTTTCCAGTTTTATCTTATTCTAAAACTAAAATATACCCTCTGAAGCTACTTTAACAGTAAGATTAATTGCTACCTCTCAGCCTACAGTTCTAGTGATAGGTTTCAAAATAGAAGGTCTATACTAAATAAAAATAGTGAAAGATTAATGTTACCAAAGAGTTGCATTGGTGTTAAAGATGATTGCCACCTTCCAGTCTTTAGTTCTAGTGATGGGTTCAAATAGAGAGTTAATGCTAGATACAAATGGTGAAAGATCTGTTTTATTTTGATGTATTTGGAGTTAGTATAGTTTGAAACCAACTCTTGTTTCACTTGTCGTATATCAAACTACAGTTGAAAAACAAGTATGCCAATCCTAGTTATGATTTGAAGGCTAACCTGTATATAGTAGCCACAGTATCTTTATATAATTAAGTAATCAAATTCTTTAGATAGCTAGATGCCATTCAAGACATAATATAGATTTTGAATTTTTTTTTTCTATATTCTTGAGTAGTGCTAAGGAACTCAGGCAGATAGGCCACAATCATAAGTCTTGTATTAAACTCTTCCTAGTAAAGAAATATATATACTATGCCATAAGATTGTAAGTCTTGTACTTGCAAGTCTAAAATTTATAATAAAAATAGTATATAGGGACCACCTATTCCTTCAAAAAAAAAAAGAAATCATAATATAGTTAATATTATTTAATAATAATAATATTTTTTTTTAAACAGATGGCCTATACCTTGTTTATTAGATTTATAGAATAAGTATGTATAGATTTGTTTTATACAAATTTACTTCTCTGTCTATCTAATTAAATTCACTAAGAAACTTGTTCTACTGTGCAGCTTATTGCCAAGTACTGATATATACTTAACTAATTTGCCAAGGCTCTATCTGTTCCTAAAAAATGAATTTTATGAGTATAGATTGTGTTCCAATTGAGCCTGCTTTGTGTGACATGTTTGAGAAGCAAATTTATTTCTGGAATGTATGTTTTATATTGTTTTTGTATTTTTTTATTATTTTTCCATCTTTTTTTATTATTTTTCCATCTTTTTTTGTTATTTTTGTTTATGCCATTATTTTTTTCCCATTTTGCAAATTTGATACATCTGTATTTTTATCTTTTTTGGAGTTCGTTAAGTAAGCAATTATAAATAGCTTTGATAGTTTATTCATATACTTCTAATTGTAGGTGTTTTTTGACTATATCAATTAGGTTATTGGTTAATGCTTCTCTTGTTATATAGTCTTTGATTTCTTGGGTCCATATCTGTTACTGTTTTTTTATTTCATTGTCTAGCTTGTGTTCCATTTTTTTCTTTTTTGTTCTGCTACCTACTTCTTCATTGATTATTTGTTTGAGCTTTGTGAAGATGTCTTCTTGATACTGTTTGCATATTATTACGTATGTATTGATTTCTGTCTGTTTGCAATGTATACACTGATCATCGGTATATGTTTTTGCTAATTTTTTGTGTAAGTTGCTTTAGGATAGTAGTTCTAAATTCCAAAGTTTGAATTTAAATGATCTGATATTGTGGTTGTATTGATTCATTTCTTCTGCTATAATTTTTTATGTGTGTTTATTAATCATTGCTTCCTCCTACCTGATGTTATTTTTGATGTTTTCATCTGTTGCAATTAGGTTCTGGTTAAGCATTCTCCAGTTGAGGATATATTTTATTTTAATTAGGTATTTGATCATTTCTGTAGTTATATTATCCATGATTTGTCCATTTCATTCTTGTATCCATTTTGTTTTGTTATTGAGTATTGGTTTGAAGTTAATTTTTAATATTGTGAATCCTATGGTGACATCTTTTGCTAGTTAGTCTGCTTTGTCATTTTCAGGATTGTTATTATGGATTTTGACTTTTTCAAAGAATATATTGAATTTTTGTTATTCTATAATATGTATGATTGTGTTAATTAGGTTGTTGTTTTTGAGTGTTCTCAGTGTATAATGATTATTTCAAGCCTTGTTAATTGCATTGAGTGCTACTTAATTATCTGTACAGATTATGGTTTTGCTATGTGATAATACTGTTAGAAGAAATGTTGTAATTGCTATTAGTTCTGCTTTGGTTAACAAAGGAAATTTGCTGATTGTGCCTTGGAAGAAAATGTTGGGCATTTGTGATATATACCAGCCAAAGCCCATTCTGAGATCTGTGTCTATTGATCCATCTGTGTATACTGTTATTGTTTTAATCCCACTTAATTTGCATTTTATTTTTGCTAGTTTGTTAAGAGCATCTTTTGTTATATCTATATATTTGTTAATTGTTTCTTTATATAATTTGGTTTGATTATTTTCAAGTTGTGATTGTGGTGGGAGATTTATTGATTGAAATTTGTTAGTTCTTATGTTGTCAATATTGTTGGTGTGATTCTGCTTCAGTGATAAAGTTTATTGTTTGGTGTGTTTCTTAAGCTTGTTTTACTTTTGTGTACTGAAATACTACCATATACCACTGTATACAATACTCAGGAAGGTATTTTACTAGAAGGAGGGTAGTATTAGTAACAGGATATATCATTACTATAAAATTCAAAATACATATTAGTCTTACTTATTATTATATTAATATACCTGGGTAGTAATTAATTATCAAGCAACAATTTTCTTGAATACTACCTGATATTACTGTATTAGTGGGGATAGTATTTGGGAGGTATTGTATACAGTGGTATACAGTAATAAGAATGTTTTTTTCTTTGCTGAATATATACTTTCCTGGTTTTTCTATCATATTAATTGAACATTCTTTTCATTCTTGTAAAGGTGAGTGATTATTGACTCTGGTGTAGTGTTGTAGTTTGACTAAATTATTAGTGATTACTTTTTTTCTTTCTATGATACTTCCAGTTGTAAATGATGTTGTTATCTATTTGATTTTTTTGTTGAAAAGCTCAATTGTAAGTTTATAATCTGGTTTTTTATGATTTCTCTTTTGCTGTCTTCCTTGAATTGTTGCTATTATGGTTTGGTTGTTTTTGATTTCATAGAACCAGTTGGATTTTCTACTGTTGGGTTTTTTATTAGGATGTATTATTTCTATTTATGCTAGTATTTGTGATATTGAGTAATTTGTGATTTGGTTTAGAAACATAATTTGATTTTTGGCAAGTTGC